AACATAGTCACTAAAGGAAGTACTGTTTTTTAGAGGGGGAGTATGAAGGGGGCTAGATACACTTAGCATTCTTTAAAACTTCTTTTAAATTGAACTAAATGCGAACTACCTGATTATAATAAAAACCCTATCAAGAATCTGATATGTAGGAGAGAATGCAGACAGAAGGCCAGCAGCAGAGTGGGGTTATCCTATTTATTGTACCCAATGTAGCGCATATGATTAACTGCCCTATGGACAGGTGGTGTATGTGTGCACTCCGTGCAAGGAGCTTCTAGCCCTCAGAGACTATGTACAGATTTTGGAGGCCAGGGTGGCTGAATTGGAGGAACTAAGGAAGGCAGAGAGATACACAGATGAACCTTTCTGGGGCACTGTAAAACTGTCTCACCTCCAGTCAGACAGCCCCTGTGCTGCTGAGGAAGGTGAAAGGCTCAGGGAAGGGGAACTTTTATCTAAAGCAGAGGGAAATGATCCTGTAGTTGTGTTGCCGGCACAAAGTGCCCGAGGGGGGGCAACAGCTGGGTTCGTTGCCCAGTGTGCGCACTCCAATAAGCACACCGGTGTGGAGAAGCAAAAAAAGTTTATCTGAACGTTCAAATAGGTGCGAGGAGACCAGACAACTCAAATCAAGCACACCAACGTAAGCAGTTTTCCCTCCTTATATACCCAGGTTGTTTACATGCAGGAATATAGTGAACTGTAGCGAGGTTCCCACGCTGGGACATGTTCCTCCTCCTCCCCCTTTACAGAAACACATCTGAATTCTTCTTCTATATTACTGATAGTAACTAAGCAACTTCAAGGTCTTGCTGTTTTGCTGTTCCCAGCTTTTAGTGAGCTAGAGAAGTTATGCTTGGGCGAGGGAAGGGGCGGAAGGGGGGGGAAGAGGGCTTTTAGGGTGCTTGGGCCTAGAGCGGGGGGGCTTCATCGATCCTTGTGATCTTCCACTCCCCCGAGTTACCTAGGATCATGCCCAGTGACCCCAACAGGTCCATGAGTCCATTTGTTTAAGAACTTCTCCTAAATGGTAAAAGCTAAGACCACCAAATTTGGTATGCTGCAGTTTCTTCTTATAACGTTGGGACCTTCCTTCCAGATCAGGCCTGGGCAAAATACAGCCCACGGGCCGGATCTGGCCCGCCAAGCCACCGGATCTGGCCGATGGAAGCAGTGGGAAGCCACAGGCAGGCTTCCCAGCTTGTGCCACAGCCCCGTGCGCTATGCAGAAACGCAGCTGCTGACTCTGTTTCTGTTTTGAAACTGGAGGGGAGAGGGAAAGTTTTAGGAGCTGCCCCGCCCGCAGCACATTCCCATTGGCTGGGTTCTTTCAGAAACCAGCCAATGGGAGCTGCTTGTTGGAATAAGCAACAGCCAAGATGAACCACACCCCCCTTGGCTCAGTTATTCACTAAAGCACATGGCCAGGCAAGCAGGCAGGCTGTCTGGCTGGGAAACAGGCTCTGCGGGCAGGCAGGCTACTTTGGCAGCTGACAAGTAAGTAAGTCTCTTAGCCACAGCCTGCTTCTGGCACCTCAGCTCTTTCCTGCTCCAACTCTCTGCCCCTCCCCTCCCCCACTCAACATACTCAAACCCTCTGTTCCCCTCTTACACCCATACCCCCTCTCAGATCTGGCACCCCAATCTCCTGCTCCAGATCACAATCCCCTCCTACCCAAACCCCTGCATTCCAGTCCCCTGCCCTAGGTCACAACTGCCTAAATTTTTTTGTGCATGGTCGCACAGGCGTGCAGCTTAGAAGGAATCCTGGTAAGGAGGAGAGAATGAAAGATGATAAAATTATGGGTAAGATCCATATGAGAAACTGTCCCATGAAAATGAGTGCCATTCAAACACATCAGGAAATGACAAACAGCTACATAATGATACATTTTTAAAGTGCTTATACACAAACGCTAGAAGTGCCTTGTATTTAAGGAGGATATTGATATAAAAGGCATCACAGAAACTTGGTGGAATGAGGACAATCAGTGGGGGACAGTCATACCAGGTTATAAAATATATTGGAAGAACAGAACAGGTCGTGCTGGTGGGTAGTGTTCCTGCTAAGATTTTCCATCCATGAGTGGAGCAAGTTTTGTCTCGTGCGCCAGTATTGATTGTCATGTCAGCTTGTTCGGATGTGTGCCACTGTGGCACTCATCACTAACTAACTAAACTAACTAACTATATATATAATCAGGGCTCGACAAATAATGCAATCTACTCACCCGTGGCAAGTAGAGTATAACCCGGAAGAGCCGGGTTTGGGCGATCTGCACATGTGCAGATTGCCGGACAGCGCAGCTGGTGAGCAGAGTTCGCTGCAGTTTGGCGAGCCCTGTATATAATTGTTATGGAAGAAATCCCCAATTACTGTGCAGATGCATTAGCTCCTGCCCCATCTTCTGCCCTGTTACACAGCTAGCACCCCGTCTCCTCCTCCACCTCCCACTGCTAGCCCCACAGCCCCAACTCTTGGCGGCAGCAGCCATCCGCCAGCTCCATGGCCCCAATCTCAGGCTGCAGCAGCTGCCTACCAGCCCCATGGCCCCAGCTCTTGGTGGCAGAAACTGCCCGCCAGTCCCATGGCCCCATTCCCAGGCGGCATTAGCCACCTGCCAGATGTGGCAGCCGCCTCCCAACATGACTTTGGTCCTGATGGCAGCCAGAGCAGCTGCCTCCCGCCATGGCCCTATTCCCCACTCACCCCACGGCCCTGGCCATGGGAGCAGCCATGCCACTCTCCTTCCAGGTCCAGGAAGGTGAGTGCTTCTGCGCAGCTCTGCAAAGGAGGTGGGTGGATTTAGAAAAAAAATTCTGCACAGCTGCACATGCGCACATCATAGAACCCTGCTGGTGGGGGCGTGGAACCATACGTGAAAGAAAATGTAGACTCAAATGAAGTAAAAATCTTAAATGAACCAAAATGCTTCATAGAATCTCTATGGATAGTAATTCCATGCTCTAATAATAATAATATAGCAGTAGAGCTATATAAACCGACCATCTAACCAGATTAGTGATAGTGACTTTGAAAAGCTAAGGGAGATTAGAGAGTCTGTAAAAATAAAAAACTCAATAATAGTGGGCAATTTCAACTATCCCCATATTGACTGGGTACACATGACCTCAGGACAGGATGTAGAGATCAAGTTTCTTTACACCTTAAATGACTCTTTGGAGCAGCTGGTTCTAGAACCCACAGTAGGAGATTTAGTCCTAAATGGAGCATACGATTTGGTCCAAGAGGTAAATATAACTGGACTGCTTGGGAACAGTGACCATAATGTAATACAATTTAACATCCCCGTGGTGGGAAAAATGCTTCAGCGCACAACACTGTAGCATTTAATTTCAGAAAGGGGAACTACATAAAAATGAGGAGGTTAAACAGAAATTAAAAGGTACAGGGAAAAAAGTAAAATCCCTGCAAGCTATTTACCCTATTTATAAATGATTGGGAGAAAGGGGTAGATAGTGAGGTGGCAAAATTTGCAGATGATACTAAACTGCTCAAGATAGTTAAGAACAAAGCAGACTTTGAAGAGTTGCAAAAGGATCTCAGAAAGTTAGGTGATTGGGCAGCAAAATGGCAAATGAATTTTTAATGTTGACAAATACAAAGTAATGCCTATTAGGAATAATAGTTGCAACCAGGGCTGGCCCGAGCCATTTTGCCGGCCCGGGCGCTCAGCGCCACTCCCGGGTGCACGGCGCATGTGCAGGCCCGACCCCCTAGAATGCATGGGCCAACCCCTGGGGCGCACGGCATATGCGTGGGCCCGCCCCTGGGGTGCACGGTGCATGCACTGCCTGGCCATGGCTGCTGACACGCAGCCTAGGACCTGCCCCCAGGGCGCACGGCGCGTGTGCTGCCCAGCCTGGCCCGGCCACCGCTGCTGGTGCGCAGCCCAGGGCGGGCCGCACCTGGCCGTGCAGGGCTCCACGGCCGTGGGGGGAAGGGCACAGCTGGCTGGTGCTGCAGGGATGGCGGGGGGCCAGGGCTGCTGGGGTGAGAGATGCTACAAAAGTTACAGAACTGTTTTGATCTTAAAAGTGGTTGATTTTCATTTGAAGAGTGGGAAATAGGAGAAAGAGAAGATTGTTGTTGAGAGATGATGAGTAGTAAGTAGGTAGGTAGAGAGAAACTCCTTTATGTCTCCTAAATTTTTTCTTGAGGGTCTTTTGTGTCATGGTGGACTATGTAGTTTTCATGTTACTGCTACTCAGAAAACAAACATAGGCAACTAGTGATAGAAATGTAGCCTTGTTAGTCTGGTGTAGCTGAAGCAAAATACAGGACTATGTAGCATTTTAAAGACTAACAAGATGGTTTATTAGATGATGAGCTTTCGTGGGCCAGACCCACTTCCTCAGATCAAATAGTGGAAAAAAATAGTCACAACCATATATACCAAAGGATACAATTTTAAAAAATGAACACATATGAAAAGGACAAATCAAATTTCAGAACAGAAGGTGAATGCGGGGGAGGGGGGGGAAGAGGGGGAAGGTAAATGTCTGTGGCCTAATGATATTAGAGGTGATAATTGGGGAAGCTATCTTTGTAATGGGTAAGATAACTAGTGTGTTTGTTGAGACCCACGCGTAAAGTGTCGAATTTTAGCATAAATGACAGTTCAGAGGATTATCTTTCAAGTGCAGATTTAAAAGGTCTTTGAGCAGGATGCAGGTAATTAAGTCGTTGAGACAATGTCCTTTCTGGTTGAAATGGCAAGAAACTTTTTTCTTTGTGATTTGGTGTTGGTAGGGGGGATCTGGTAGGTCAGATTGATGTTCAGTGGTGGTTTGGAAATATTCTCGGAGACGGAGGCGGCGAAAAAAAGCCTCAAGGTCACCACAAAATTGTATCCAGTTTGTGGGGGACGTGGGGCAGAAAGAGAGACCCCGGGACAAGACAGACTCTTCTGCTGGATTGAGTTTGTAGCTGGAGAGGTTAACAATATTATCCGGTGGGTTGAGGCAGTTGCTGTTGTAGCCAGTGGTATGGAGCAGGTTAGGAAATTTATTGTCTTTTCTTTGTTGTAGGGAATAGAAGTGTGTATAGTAGATTTCTTGTCTGGTGGAACAAAAGTCTTGCAAGGTGTCAGTCGGTGTGGATGTTTGTCTTGAGATGAGACGATCTAAGTTAGAAATGTCATTCTTGATGGTTTTCTGTTTCTTGTATAAAATACTTATCAGGTGGTTTCTTAATTTCTTGGATAGTGTGAGGCAGAGTCTTTCACTGTAGTCAGTGAAGTATGTTGATCTTAGTGGATTGTTCACTTTCAGTCCTTTGGGTACGATGTCCATTTTCTTGCACTTGGATAGAAAGATGATGTCTGTCTGTATCTGTGCGAGTTTCTTCATATGGTTGATGGATTTCCATTCCAAACGGCTAAATGTAGTGCCTTGCATGTAGAATAGTGATAGAAATGTAGCCGTGTTAGTCTGGGGTAGTTGAAGCAAAATGCAGGACAATGTAGCACTTTAAAGACTAACAAGATGGTTTATTAGATGATGAGCTTTCGTGGGCCAGACCCACTTCCTCAGATCAAATAGTGGAAGAAAGTAGTCACAACCATATATACCAAAGGATACAATTTAAAAAAATGAACAAATATGAAAAGGACAAATCACATTGCAGAACAGAAGGGGGATGCGGGGGGGTGGGAAGGGGGAGGAAGGAAGGTAAGTGTCTGTGAATTGCTGATATTAAAGGTAGGGAGAGTGGGATGTTTGTGAGTTAATGGTATTACAGGTGATAATTGGGGAAACTGTCTTGGTAATGGGTGAGAAAGTTCAAAGACTTGTTAAGTCCTTGTTGGTAAGTGTCGAATTTTAACATGAATGACAGTTCAGAGGATTCCCTTTCAAGTGCAGATGTAAAAGGTCTTTGTAGCAGAATGCAGGTGGCTAAGTCATTTAGAGAGTGTCCTTTCTGGTTAAAGTGGCAAGAAACTGTTTTCTCTTTGTGATCTTGTCTGATATCTGTTTTGTGGGCATTAATCCTTTGGCGAAGTGTCTGAGATGTTTGTCCAATGTACATAGCAGACGGACACTTTCGGCACATGATAGCGTAGATTATATTTCTGGATGCGCAGGAATATGTGTTCTTGATCTTATAACTCACTTGGTTAGGTCCAATAATGGTATCAGCAGAATGAATATGTGGACAAAGCTGGCAACGGGGTTTGTTGCAAGGGAAGGTACCAGGGTTGGTATTAGTGTGGTATGTCCTGTGGTGGTTGGTAAGAATCATCTTGAGGTTAGGTGGTTGTCTATAGGAGACTATGGGTCTGTCTCCCAGAGCCTCTTTGAGTATGGTATCCTGTTCCAATATAGGCTGTAGTTTATTGATAATGTGTTGGACAGGTTTAAGTTGGGGGTTGTAGGTGATGACAAGTGGTGTTCTATTGTTGGTTTTCTTGGGTCTGTCTTGAAGTAGATGGTTTCTAGGTATTCGTCTGGCTCTTTCAATTTGCTTTTTTGTTTCTCTGGGTGGGTAGTTGAGATTTATAAATGCTTGGTAGAGATCCTGAAGCTTCTGGTCTCTGTCAGTGGGGTTAGAGCAGATGCGGTTGTATCGAAGGCCTTGGTTATAGACGATGGATCGTGTGGTGTGTTCTGGATGGGAGCTGGATGCATGTAGGTAACTGTATGAGTCGGTGGGTTTTCTGTAGAGAGTGGTGTCTAATTTTCCATTGTTGATTTGTACGGTGGTGTCCAGGAAGTGGATCTCTCGTGTAGAATGGTCCAGGCTGAGGTTGATGGTGGGGTGTAGGTTGTTGAAATCTCTGTGGAATATCTCCAGTGTTTCTTGGCCATGTGTCCAGATCATAAAGATGTCATCGATGTACCGTAGGTAGAGGAGGGGTGAAAGGGGACGGGAGTTGAGGAAATGTTGTTCTAGGTCAGCCATAAAGATGTTAGCATACTGTGGGGCCATGCGTGTACCCATGGCTGTGCCGCTGATCTGGAGGTAGAAGTTGTTCTCAAACTGGAAATAATTGTGGGTGAGAACAAAGTTACATAGGTCTGCTATCAGGTTGGCAGTGGTGTCCTCTGGGATAGTGTTTCTAATTGCTTGTAATCCATCTTCATGTGGTATGTTGGTGTATAGAGTTTCTACATCCATGGTGGCAAGGATGGTGTTATTGGGGAGGTTATCGATGTTTTGTAGTTTCCTTAGGAAGTCAGTAGTGTCTCGGAGATAGCTGGGGGTGCTGGTTGCGAAGGGGTTGAGAAGAGAGTCTACATAGCTGGACTCCTTATTATTAATCTTTACAGTGGAATTCATACCTAACCAAACCTTAATCCTATACTTTTTTCTTTGCTTCAGATCCTACCTGGCTTTCAACAAATCTGGGAATTCTAACTTGTATTGAATGTTCAGGAATCCATAGAGAACTTGGTGTTCACTACTCCAGAATGCAGTCACTGACGTTAGATGTGCTGGGAACATCTGAACTTTTGGTGAATATAAATGTTTTTATTAATTTATAAAATCTGAGGAAAATAGTGAGCAAGTTCCACTCTGTGTATTGTTTTGTCCTCTGAATTATATTTTTTCAAGCTTTGAATTTATCTCTGGAAAAATACAAGCAAGAAATCTTCCTTTTTCATATTAAAGTAAGTTCATTTGAAAACGTGTTATTGAAGAAACTGTTTGATATTAGAATTTGTATCACTAAAGTAATAACTTTTTAGGTGTTTTATCAAGATTGTCTTTACAGTAAGTTTCTTCTAAAAAGAATATCACACTTCAGTGCCTTTCGTGTGAGTAATTCAAGTACTTCTCCATTGTCTACCTCTTACTTTGTGATGCATCTTTCAGCAGAGAATTTCTAAGCGTTTTTCAAACTTCAGGAAGTTAATTTCAGTGGGTTTTGGATCAGGTTCTTAATTATGAAGACAGCCCTTGAGGGAAGGGAAGGTATTGTCTCTGTTTTAGGGTACGTCTAGACTACATGCCTCTGTCGCCAGAGGCATGTAGATTAGGCTACCAGACATAGGAAAATGAAGCGGCGATTTAAATAATTGCCGCTTCATTTAAATTTACATGGCTGCCGCGCTGAGCCGACAAACAGCTGATCAGCTGGGGAGTGGGACAACATCCCTGGGGCTCGGCGGGATAGTCTGGACGCGCGGGTGTCGACATCAAAGGTATTTGTCGACCACCCAGGTATGCCTCATCCCAGGAGGCATACCTGGGTGGTCAACAAATACCTTTGATGTCGACACCCGCGCATCCAGACTATCGCGCTGAGCCGACAAACAGCTGATCAGCTGTTTGTCGGCTCAGCACGGCAGCCATGTAAATTCAAATGAAGCGGCGATTATTTAAATCGTCGCTTCATTTTCCTATGTCTGGTAGCCTAATCTACATGCCTCTGGCGACAGAGGCATGTAGTCTAGACGTACCCTTAGAGATGGGCAAGCTGAGATTCAAAGATGTTGTGTAACTTGCTCAAGGTCATATAGTTGTAAAGCTAGGACTAAACTCTCACGTTTCCATTTATCTTGTTCTTACTACATGGTGTTTATGGCTACTTACTGAACATATCTGATGAAAATGTACGTATTTGTTTTTAACAGCTTGCCAAGAATATTGGGAATGCTTGTTTTAATGAGATTATGGAATTTTGTCTGCCAGTTGATGAGACAATCAAACCTAATCCGAGCAGTGATATGTAAGTATAGATTATTTTCCGTTTTCAGCAAGTATTTAAATTGGCCTCAGAAATGTCTTAACATGCTTTTGTACTCCATCTTGAGTGACTATGCGTTCAATTTTTACCACAAATCTAAACTCTTTTTTTCTGGTGCCTTAGTGCTCAGTAAAATATATGTTCTTGAAGTACTTGCTCATGTCAATTCCATTTCAGGTATGCGCATGTGTGCAGCTGTTAGGCTGTGTCCAGACTCAGGGGTTTTTTCGAAAAAAGTACCCTTTTTTCGAAAAAACTTCCCCTGCGTCCAGACTCAAGCCGCGTTCTTTCGAAATTAATTCGAAAGAACGCGGCTTTTCTTTCGATGGCGGTAAACCTCATTTCACGAGGAAGAACGCCTTCTTTCGAAAGTTCCTCTTTCGAAAGAAGGTGTTCTTCAATGTAAATAGGGCTTCTTCAAAAGAGAGCATCCAGACTCACTGGATGCTTTCTTTCGAAAAAGCAAGCCGCTTTTTTGAAATTTCTCCATGCAGTCTAGACGCTCTCTTTCGAAAGAGGCTCTTTCGAAAGATGCTTTCGAAAGAGCCTCTTTCGAAAGAAGCCTGCAGTCTATACATAGCCTTAGAGATTTTTGCCATAGCAGTACCCATAGGGCTAGCTGTGGCACTCACTAGAGTGCCATGGTCATGTCGTGGTATAGCAGGCACTGCTGGCCCACAACTTCTCAGTTCCTTTTTGCCATCTGTGCTGGTCAGTAAGCACACCTATCTTGCTTGACAAGAGCTAGCTTTTTTTTTCTTCCCCTATTCTAGACCTGTGTGGCCTCAAGAAATTTCTCAATAACTTGAAGTTCTTCATGGTCTTCTTGGCCTCCATTATCCCTTCCCTATATCTAGCAGACTGGTATGGTGCTCTCAATTTAAAAGGCACTTAGTTCCATGTCTCCGTATTTCCAGGACACAGATGCTTCTTGCATTTCATAGTCGCCAGGAGCCACTTCCAGTTCATGGTACTATCTTTTGGCCTGTCTTCAGCCCCCAGGATATTAATCACAGAATCATAGAATATTAGGACTGGAAGGGACCTCGAGAGGTTATCGAGTCCAGTCCCTTGCCCCCATGGCAAGACCAAATACCATCTAGACCATCCCGACTAGATATTTATCTAACCTACTCTTAAATATCTCCAGAGATGGGGATTCCACAACCTCCCTAGGCAATTTATTCCAGTGTTTAACTACCCTGACAGTTAGGAACTTTTTCCTAATGTCCAACCTAAACCTCCCTTGCTGCCGTTCAAGCCCATTGCTTCTTGTTCTATCCTCAGAAGCCAAGATGAACAAGTTTTCTCCCTCCTCCTGATGCCACCCTTTTAGATACCTGAAAATGGCTATCATGTCCCCCTCAGTCTTCTCTTTTCTAAACTAAACAACCCCAATTCTTTCAGCCTTCCTTCATAGGTCATGTTCTCTAGACCGTTAATCATTCCTGTTGCTCTTCTCTGGACCCTCTCCAATTTCTCCATATCTTTCTTGAAATGCGGTGCCCAGAACTGGACACAATACTCCAACTGAGGCCTAACCAGCGCAGAGTAGAGCGGAAGAATGACTTCTCGTGTCTTGCTTTCAACACACTGAATGAAATGCCTGGCGCCAGTAGTGGCTTACCTGAGGCATAGAGGGTCCAGATTTTTCAGTATGTTGATCATTGGCTCATCAAGAGTAGGTCTCCAGAGCAGGTGCAGAAAAGCCTCAATCTATGTTTCAGCAGCAGTGACCTGGGCCTGTTCATAAACATAGAAAAATCTATGTTAACACGGGTCAAATTAATAGACTTTATTGGAGCAGTTCTTGATTCCACATGAGCCAGGGTCTTTCTTCCAGAAGCATGTTTTCAGGCCATGGTTGATCTCATTACCCACATAAAGAAGCATCGAATCACCACAGCTCACACTTATCTGTGGCTGATAGGCTTCGTGGCAGCCTGTAAGATGATCAGGTATACCTGGCTTCATCTGTGACCCCTGCAGACATGGCTAGCAACAGTCTGTGCTCCCAGCAGCCACTACGGTACTGGACCAAGTTCTCTCATCCATAGACTGGTGGTTAGACCTCAAGTCAGTGCTGCAGGGAGTTCCCTTTGTGTCCCCATAACATTCACTCACGCTGGTCTTAGATGCATTGGATCTGGGCTGCTGGCCCATCTGAGTAAACTCAGCATCCAAGATTGCTGGCAACAGCATGATTTAGCCCTTCATATCAATGTCAGGGAGCTCAAGGCAGTGCACCTGGAAATGGATGACAGGGAGGGATCACATGATGATTCCCTGTTTTATTCAGTCCAGGCATGTCCAAAGTCCGGCCCGCGGGCCAAATGCGGCCCGCGGTCGGATTTAATACGGCCCCCCGCTTCTCCCAGCTCCCCGGTGCTTTTTTTAACTGGCGCGCTCAGCGCGCCGCTTCGGGCCACCGCGGTCCCAAACCCTGCCCCTGCACTCCGCTTTGGGGCTGAGAGTGCAGGGACAGCCCCCGCTTCCTCCCCCTCTCCTGGCTCCCCGGCGCTCCTCTGACTGGCGCTGCTT